AAAGCATCCGTTGGCTTTGTTTGCAAGGATGTGCATTGAGAGGACATGATGAATCATCATCTTCAAAGAATCAAGGTAATCTTATTGAGCTTATAAAGCTTATGGGCAAAATGGATGTCAATGTTAAAAATGTTGTTTTAGAAAATGCGCCGGGAAATGCAAAGTATACATCACCGGATATTCAAAAAGATATTTTGCATATTTTCGGTGAGAGAGTGAGGAGAAAGATTCGTGAAGAAATTGGAAGTTCAAAGTTTTGTCTCTTAGTTGATGAAGCTAAAGACATATCAGACAAAGAACAAATGGCTATTGTCTTAAGGTTTGTTGATCGTGAAGGTTTCTTAAAAGAGCGATTCTTTCATATTGTGCACGTACCTAATACCACTGCCTTGACACTTAAGAATGAGGTATCTAATGTGCTTGGTCGATATGAGTTGCATCTCAAAGATATTCGAGGTCAAGGATACGATGGAGCTAGCAATATGCGTGGATCGTGGAATGGTTTACAAGCTCTTTTCATAAGGGACTCTCCACAAGCATATTATGTACATTGTTTCGCACATAGACTTCAGTTGGCATTAGTGGCAGCGGCTGAAAAAGAGAGCTCTATTTGGCTATTTTTTTCAAAATTGACGTCAATTTGTAATCTCATTAAGGCATCGCCAAAACGTCATAGTGATTTACAATCCGCTCAAGCTATTGAAGTTGCAAATATGGTAGCCCTCGGTATTCGTGACACGGGTACAATTGCTTTTTTATTTTACTTTTTAATTACCATTAATTTGTGATTACATTAAATTTTTATTTAACTTTTTTATTTGTTTTATGTGAAATAGGTAAAGGACTCAACCAAACTACAACTTTGCAACTAGCTGGAAAAACACGTTGGAGTTCCCATTTTGAGTCCATTTGCAGTATGATAGATATGTATCGTTCTGTGATTATCGTGCTTGAGCATATGACGGAGGAAGCATCTTCTAATTCTATACGTGGGGAAGCTACTGGTGCTTTAATTGCGATGAGATCATTTGATTTCGTATTTATCTTATTTTTGATGCACAAGATTATGGCGATCACAGATTTGCTTTGTCAATCTTTGCAAGAGAAGTCTTTGGATATTTTAAGCGCAATGGATTGTGTGTCAACTACAAAATCATTGCTTTGTACTCTTAGAGAAGATGGCTTCGATACTCTTCTTATATACGTGAAAACATTTTGTGAAGAAAATGGCATTGAGATACCGGATATGAGTGCTTGTCATCGATCTTCTAGGGGTCGTTTTTGCCAACAGAAGTTTCCCACAACAGTTGAACATCATTATCACTATGATGTATTCAATGCGACGATAGATTTTCAATTGGAAGAGCTTCGTAGCAGATTTAATGATGGAGCTGTAGAACTTCTCCGACTCAGCTCTGCTTTGGATCCTCGAGATAACTTTAAGTTGTTCAATGCCGATGATATTTATATTCTTGCCGAGAAATTCTATCCTAATGATTTTAGTGGGCAAGAGCTACATTATTTGAGGAGTCAGTTAGAGCATTATAAGGTTGATGTTGTCCAGCATGAGAAGTTCCAAAATATTTCTACAATTTCTGATTTATGTCGACGGTTAGTAGAGACGGAGAAGGCAAGACATTACCATTTAATTGACAGACTGATTCGCCTCATTTTGACGCTTCCCGTTTCTACTGCAACAACCGAACGATCATTTTCAGCTATGAAACTTCTCAAAACTCCTCTTCGAAATAAGATGGAAGAAGACTTCTTGGCGAATTCTATGATTATCTACATTGAAAGAGAGTTTACTTCGAAAATCGACACAGATTCGATAATTGATGAGTTTTATAATATGAAGAACCGGAGGGCGCATCTTAAATAGGTATTTTTTTTTTGAATAGTTGTAATGAACATGAATCATTTTATATGAGTTTTTTAATTAAAATTTATTTTTTATTTTTTCTTTCTAAATTTTACCACGTATCTTCAATCATTCTTATAATCGATCAGCCCAGGGTATTTTATTTTTCTGGCTACGCCCCTGGTTGTAATCGACCTTCACTTGTTGTTGAGCCTGGAAAGGGCATTTTAATTCGCATAGCTATCTGGTATAAATATCAGAACTTGCAAATAAAACTTGGTTAAAAATATAATTGTCAATATACAAAAGAACAGATATTACTCTCAAGTATATTAAACAGGAATGGGGAGAATTGAGTTATGAACTTTTAATATAACAAGGACCAACGATATATAACAACATAATTTCAATTTTTAAAAGAAAGGAAAAGAAATATCGAAAAACATCGAATAACTTTAAGTTAAAATGAAAACATAATATCCCAATATTGTAAGTGAAAAAACAAACAGATCAAATACCTTTTTAAAAAATACAAACATCTTTTATAGGAGAGGAAAAAATCATCTAAAACATCATATAAGCAATGCACAAGACCATTAAAGGCAACCATGACTTCATAGAACCATGAATCGAATAAGCATATTACCAAAATGCAGTCATGATTACATAGAGCATAAATCGAATGGGCGTATTCAAAGATCAAGGAAATGCAACCATGATTTTAAAAAATCATAGTATCTCCTGTGAAAAATCAAAGGAAAAAATATTTCTCTTTTTTGTATTTACCTTAACGACAAAATCCTGAAGAAATGAAGATACATACAATTTTTTTTTATAAAAATGGAGGAAATAAAAAAAATTTATAATATACATATTCAAATGGATACCTTCAAACTCTAATTCAGAAATCAGAAAGGGAGAACCAAAATATCACCAGCTCTAGAACTCTGAAAGCCGAGAATTAGGAATTATCGCTGTCAAATAATAATACTTTTATGAAATGAAAACTAACATATGTCAAAGTTGAAAACATAATAACAATTTTAAAAAACTGAAGGCGAAATAATATAAATTATGTGTAAAGAATTATTAGAAAAGGTTGTAATTTACCAAAAGTTGACCAAATCACAATAAAGTTATTAGTCATATCAAACTACCATATTTTATAAACTAAAAAGTTTAATCTATCACACTACGCATAATTTTTTCCATTGTCAATGCAAAAATGTCGAAATCATAATTTAGTTAATATAATCTTTTTTAATATAAAATTTCTGAGCATATACAGGAGATATTTAGAGAAAACATAACAGTTTTTCCACTTTCCACATAATAACAAACATGCGTATAATAAATATCAAAAGTAAAAATAACATATAAGATTAGGAAAGAAAGTGCAGTTCTTTGTCATTAGCCAATGGTGTACTTGTGATAAGTCTAACCAGAATATCAATTATACAATTTCCCTATTCCCCAATCTAAAAATAAATGAAAAACAAAGTAATAATTAAAGTCATGAAAATACAATTTGTTCATCAAATAACAAAGGGAAAAGTGAAATATAAGAATAAAAGTGGAACTGAACTCTATTATTTCGGCAACATTCTAGTCATTGATTCTGGGCTATAAATCATTTTGTGGCATCTGTTGACAAAATATAATTAAATAGATAGAAAAAATATAAAATTCAAATAAAACAAATACAATATGAGCAATACGGAGTTACCCCTTAATTGGTCACTATAACAACAAAACCAAACATTTATAATAGGAAATACAATTAGAAAATTTGAAAGTCAATCATCCAATGGACTGATGGACAAAACACAAGGAAATTTGGTCTTATATAAATTTTAATATTTATGCAAAGTAAAGTAAAGTGTGTGCAATGGCAAACTGCTAATCATACTATCATTAAGTATCAAATACATATAATCATACCGCAGACCTTCGCCAAATTATATCCTTAATTCTGCAAGTCTAAGTATCTTTGTAGAAAAAGTACGACACCGTAGCCTATGAGCAACGTACCTAGGAAAAAAGTGAACCGATCATCTTGAAAATTTAGCTTACTAAAATGCTTTAATTTCTTTCTAGAAAAATATTTAGTAGATAACATAGAAATAATCTAAAATTGTTCAAGTTATTTGTTATACGGGTTTACATTGAAGGCCCTTCATATTTCCATTTTTGTTTACATGAATAAGGTTATGCTCATAACAANTAAAAAAAAAAAAAAAAAAAAATCGTTGCATTATAGGATGCATGTACTTTATCCTATCAAAGAGGACTATGTTTATAAAATTTCATAAAATATAGCTGGTTGAAATATGAAAACAATGAAAACTTTAATTAATCATCTATTGAAAAATGAATGGAGATATGTATTTCTATATCAACTATTCCTACATTTTAAAAATAATTTGTGAACTACAAATGATAATATAGATCTATGAAGATAACAAAAAAAATCCTTATGAATCTAAACTCGAAGACCTGACACGAAAATATTAATTGTGAACTACAACGCCAATTAGTTCACCCACAGGAATAATTATTATAAGGATGCATGTTACAGTAAGCTTCATCAATCTATTTTTATTGCTCAGCAGGAATCATGTCATTTGATTAGAAGTAGAAGCATAACTTAGAAGTAGAAGCCACCAAGGACAAATAAGTCAACATCGTATATGGCTAAATTCGACTTAAAACGAATAAGTACCTGGATTATTGAGAAATTTAGGGGTTTCGGCCCTCGGTTGTGCCCAACACGACGATTTGCTGCCGCGATTTAAAGAGTCCTTCTCCGACAAACTTCGTCAGAAGGCCGCCTAAAATTTTATCCTCATCAGTTGACACACGTCTTCGGTGGCCCTAAACTGGTTCTTCTAGCTATTGACGCAAAACCCCCAAATCAAGGAGAAAGAGAAAGAAACTCCTAATCGAAGACGACCAGGCTGGTGTACCTGAAGGCGGTACTGTCGGAGATGCTCCGGCTGTACCCGTCGGTGTCGGTGGCGGAGGACTCATAGCTCATGGTGGTGGACGACGTGCTGCCGGACTGGACGCTCGTGCTAGGGGATTCAAGCATGACCTTCTCAATCTACTCGACAGGCCGGATATTCTGAATGAGGAAAGGAGGAAAGATAGAAGCGAGGAAAAGGGCAGTGGAAATAATGTGTATGTGACAACCACGTTTTGGATGAAAGCATGTGAAGCTGCGCCAGCGCCGTTGGAGAAGACATACGATGACTGCTCGAGTTGGGTAATTTGGAAAACAATGGAAGAGGAGGTGTTAATTTTTTTCACAACCCTAAGGGTAAATTGGAAATTTAGGGGATAAAACTTGACGTGTCAACCGGAGAGGCCAGGTACAAAATAAAAAATTCAACTAAGGAACATTATACCCAATCTGAATTTTTTCTATATTATATTATTCCTAGATATTTCCACATGTTTTTAATTGCTTTCCTAGATTATCTAGGCTTATAATAAGTTGGAGTAATTTTAGGATTTAATTTTCATAAATTAGTAGTTGATTTCCATATGTTTAGGCTAAGTTTCTACCTTTAAATATATGATGTTATGCATGTTTTTCAGCATCAAATAATCAATAAAAGTCAAAACTTTGTTCACTAATTTCTTGTGTTAAGATTCTTTGAATTTTTCTACAAAATCCTTGTGTCGAAGAGGTGTTTATCAAATCGTTCGTCACGAGTTTGAGTTGGCGAGAATCCACGTCCAAGCTACTTTAACCAATCGCTGAAAAGGAGGTGTTCTAGCATCTTTGAAGCAATCTATCGTCGAGAAGGAGGTGGTCTTCGTATCCTTTGAGGCAAAATCGAGCATCGAGACACGCGATCTTCATCAGCACGCGCTGTCCCGGGTCGCGCGACCTTGTCGCGACCAGTGCGGGCGTCACCAGGTTCGTGTGCACGGTCTTCGAGCATGTCGCTGCGTGCGCCCGAGTGAGTCGCCCCGAGCCCCCGTTGCAGGCGTTGTCTGCACGCGCCCGTGCAGGTCTCCCAACATGCCCATCGCGCCTGTTCACTGCGCGCGCGCACTGCATGCATGTGCGCTCCTGCTGCTGGTGTTGCGCATGTTTCGTACACGACTCGCACCTGGCATTTTGCGTGAGTCACCCGGTGCCTTAGCCATCTCCACCAGGTTTTCCTCCATTGATGTGCTTCCCGAAATCTCCAATGGTGTGTTCGTTTGAGGCGTTGTCTCGTGCGTGCCTGGGCGGCTTTGTGTGGCCTTTTTGGTCATCAAGTGGCCTTCCTTGTGCATGCTCGTCAGTGACCGCGAATCGCAACATGGAAAATTAAAATTTAAATTTTTTCTCGGCTAACCTCTACTAACTAATAGTAGCGGTAAGTAAAGCTCGATCCCACGAGTAGTGTGAATCATATCGTGAGATTTTTCGTATTAATTAAAACTATAAAAAGTGATAAAGAGTGGGGAATTGGATTACAAAATATAATCTATATAATAATGAAATCTAAATAAGAAAATAAAAATAAAATAAATTAAGAGAAATTTATAGTTCACGTTCCAGTCTACACCCTTGTTAGACTAGTATAACTAATTGTGATGTCAAGATTCACTATCTTCTGAAATTAATAGCCCTAGTGTAGCGCCCCAAATATTTTTAAAGAAAATTCTGAACTTTTCCAAAAATCATGATCAAATTTTCAAAATTCATTTTTCGATTTTAAACACATATTGGCGTACTCACATCATCATCATAATTATCACATCATCATCATAATTAGCTCAAGCCATGTCTGAGCCTTCGAGAATTCATTACCCAACTTTCACATAGGAACTCATTGTCCACAATTTCTCATCATGCATACAAGATAAACATAGCATCATATCATAAGTCTCGTAATCAATAACAATCCAGGTTATAACATCATCATGTTCATAATCAATAATAATCCCAATCATCATCATGGTTCAAAACGTCATCATATTTAAGAACCAGATCATCATATTCAACATATCATCATGTTCAATTTCATAACATCATAAAGTTTAACATTTTATCATGCTTGAAAATCCCAAAAATATAGTTCATCATATAATGACTCACCACTCGTCTTCCATTCGCCATGCCAATCACCTGCTGAACCTGAAAAGGGGAGGGGGGCATGGGGGTGAGAAATTCACTAGCTCACCACTATGCACATAAAACAATATAATTACAGATAGTAGGGTCGCAACATGTATATGAATCAATCTACAAATATCACATTTCCTAATCCTCTAGTGTACACCCCAAAATTTCTCAATATTGGAAGTGAAGTCGAAATTTATAGGTTTTGTGCATGAGTTGATTGGGACCGTCACCGTGAATGGATCGAAATTTGTGTTCGTCAGACCAAGAAGGCCACCACCTTCACCGGCACCGGCACCGGCACCTCCGCTCTCACTCCCGGTTTGCGTGTCTGTGTGTTGGACAGAGTCGATGTGTGGCCATTGGAGAGGATGAAGCATTTGCAGAAAGCCAATTGTCCTTTCGTTTAATATCATCGAAATTCAGACAATTTTTCAAAGCGATGATTTTGAATTGGGCTAAGGGCTGAATTCGGTTTCTCGACATTGATAGATTGGCTATTTTTGGGTTGATTGTTAATGAATTTCATTTTGGTTTGATTTGTGATTTTGAGTGTAATTGTTTTTATGTTTTTCTATGTTCATAATGTTACGTAATCGTGTTTTAATTTTCTTCTAAACCAGTTCAAATCTTATTGTTGTTTTTTAAGTAATTTGTTAGTACTTTTTAGTGGTTGTCAAGAGACAGGCTCTTTCTTGTTGATATGTATTTTTATTTTAACATCGTCGAAATAGGGAGCTACGAGCAAGTCTGCTCCAGAAAGTTTAATCAATTATTCTTTATCTTCTCATGAAAAGTACTATTACTTTGATTGTTTAACTGATACAAAAATCAACAAAGAAGAGAACAATGACAACTAATAATTATAAAAAATAAAAAAAAAATAAACAGAACTAATAGACCGATAAAAAAAAATAAAAAAAATAACACAACTAATAATTATATTTATGTGTAATTGTTTTTGTGTTTTTGGGTGTTCATACTGGAAAGATAATCGTATTTTGTTTTGTACATTATAAACAAACAGAGATTATTATTATTATTTTTAATTTGCAGCAACCAAGAACAATGACCTCCCACCTTCTTGTTCATTACAGTGGACATTGGATTAATTAAGTAACTATAAAACAACAATATAACACTTCTCAAGCAATCTAAAAACAATTTTCACTTACAATAAAATATTTCAAAATTAAGTTTTACAACATTTATATGAGATAGTGAATGAAACAACAACAAAAAAACAACACTACAATAATCAAACAACATGAAAACAACTTCACAACTTTCACTCTCTTTATGGAAGACATCACAAACTTCATATCCTTTATAACTCACTTCATTGATCCATTGCTCATTATATTGCACAAAAAGAAGATCAGTGCTCATGTTACTTGAAAAAAATTGGATAAACCAAGTTAATTGATTTCTTACAAAATTGTATATAATTCATTTGATGTTTTTTTCTTTTGATTTCATATGACTGAAAGTACGTTCATTTACATGTGTAATCTTGTAAACGGGTATCTTCAATCTTCTTCTACTTTTTGAGTTTTTTATTCCTATTGTTTTTTATTTT